TAAAATTTTTTAAACCAATTCCTAATATTTTAAAGTATCATCATTTTATTTTACATAAAGATAATATAGGTAATGTAAAAATTAAAGAAATAATTGATGGAAATAAGCAAACTATAGATATTAGAAAATCAAAAAATATTAATATTATAGGATTTCCATAAGAGATTCATCCTACAGGATTATCAGCTGAAAGACAATGGTATTTACATGAACAAGTTCGTCAATATATTCAAGATTCTCAAAAGTGGGATGAATATTACCCATTACCAAGTATTCCAAAACTAAAGCTTAAACAAGTTAAAAAAATTTAACTTATTTATAATATATTTATTATTATTTACATGTATCTTTTTTTATTATAAATATATTTTTATTCTTTATTTTTAAATAAATTTGATTTTTTATAATTAAATTTATAAGTCTTTCAAAACTCAAAAAAAAAATTTTGTGAGACGTGTTCATTTTGCGAAAAAGAGGCGTTAACAGACGAAAAAAACGTCACCAGACGTTCATTTTGCGAAAAAAATGTTACTGGACGTTCAATTTGCGAAAAAAGTCACCGGACGTTCAATTCGCGAAAAAAATGTCACTGGACGTTCAATTCACAAAAAAAACGTCACCGGACGTTCATTTTACAGAAAAAACGTCACCGGACATTCGTTTTGCGAAAAAAATGTCACCAGACGTTTGTTTTGCGAAAAAAACGTCACCAGACGTTCATTTCGCAAAAAATACGACTTTGGACGTTCATTTCGCAGAAAAATGTCTTTGGGATGTATGTTGCGAATAAGTCGTCGTCTTCATTTTACGAAAAAACATCAATTATTTATTAATTAACTTGATTTTGGCCGAAATCAATAAATTTTACTTTCAATTAGTAAACCGGCATTTGGTCAAAATTAAAAAATTGCAAAAAAGTCTAAGCCGAAATTTATCCGTATAACAAAATTAAAGTTACCCTTGTTTCTATTGCAAAATCACAGATCCTGCCTTTTTTAGATTGTATCTATTTTTAGATGCCGATCATTTTAGTGTAATATTACCTTGCATGAATTTAAATCTACAATATCTTAATTTTTTATTATGCAAATCAATTTCCATTTATAATTAAAAAATGTAGCCCATACCAAAATCTATTCAAATTTGGCTAAAACTCAATTTTCATTTTCGGGGTAGTTTCTGGTGTTTCTACTGCAAAGGCCCCATATAATTGAATAAGATGATATTCAACCAGATCCAGCTAAAATTGAAAAAGTAAAAGATTTGCTGATACTAAAAGATATATCTTAAGTTTGATCAGCTCTATGATTATTCTCTTATTATAGAAAATTTATTAAAGACTTCTTACGAATTGCAAAATCTATTAATATTTATTAAATAAAAAACAAACATTTGAATAGACTGAAAAGCAACAAAATGCATTTAATCATTTAAAAAATTGTCTAATTAATACACTAATTTTATAATATTTCAAATTTTAATGAAACTTTTATTTATATAGTCACCACTGGTTATATTGAATCTGTATGTATTAAAACTCATTGTACTGAACTAAAATTTTCAGAACCAAATTTTTATAGTAAATTTTATTGGATATAACGAACTTCATTATACAAATGCTATATATTGTATACTAAACTCATACTAAAAACCAGAGTATATTAGCTATATATCTTCTATACCGAATAGTAATATGATTTGAAATTAAAAATTATGCAGATGAATAATCTTTTTTAATCTTATCTTTTATCTATAATGTCAAAAAAGTCTATTCTTTCTGCAGAATAAAAATGTGAACTTTGTGAAATAAAAGAGAAGGAACTAACTATTTTTAACATTGATCTTGCACAAAATATAATATTGGAAAATCCATAGTTACTGATATTTTAAATGAAAAGAACCATTAGCTTGCAATTTCAGGAGACCATAGAAAAATTAAAAAATTTCATGGTCTGAAATAGTCTCAACTTGAAGATGTACTTAATCTCTGGGTTAATAATATACTTAATATAAAATAAGATATTGATAATAATATCTTAAAAATTAAAGTAAGTTATTTTGCTAGGCAGTTTTCTATAGAAAATTTTCACCAGTTAGAAGGATGATTAGGTGAGTTTAAAAAATGATATGGAATATGTCAGTTTAAGAAGCAGGTTGAAGCTTCAAGTGCATCTTTTGCTAAATTATTAGAAAATAACTGACTTGCCTTACAACAATTTCTTGAATCTTTATAATCCTAAAGGTATTTGAAATGGTGACGAAACTATCTCTTTTGGAAGATGAAACCATCTAGAATTTTAACGCATAGTCCTTTATTTGGTCATAAAAAAGAAAAATCCTGGATTACTATATTTTGTGTAATAAATATAACTGGAACTAAAAAAATGACTCTTATCTTTATTCATAAATATAAAACTCCTTGTATTATGAAAAATATCAATTACAAAAACCTTCCTGTTTATTATTTTTAGAATAAGAAATCTTGGATGCAAGTTAGTATTTTTAATAAGATTTTTCTTAAACTTAATGAAAAATGAAACAAAGAAGGTGTAAATTTGTTTTTTACTTGATAATACGCTAGTACATCTTATTTTAAATGAAACTCAAGAAAAATTAAATAGCATTGTGTTAAAATTTCTTTCATTAAATACTATTACCATTCTTCAACCATGTGATGCAGAAATCATTTACTCATTTAAATATCATTACAAATGCCTTTTTGTTTAAAATCGAATTAATGCATATGATAATATATAAGAAGGTATCGTAAGAAAACTTTCAGATTATAGTATCCTTGACATTTTACAAACTCAGCTGAAGCATGGTTTATATTATTATCTCAAACAATCTCAAACTGCTAGAGAAAATTAGAAATTCTTTCACTAAACAATGAAATTGAAAATGTACTTGATGATGATTTAATTTTGGATAAGTATGTATTAATTATTAAACATAAATATCAAATGCAAATAGTTTTTAATAAATATTTTCTTTTTTTAGTTTTAACTAAGATAAAGAGAAATTTAAAAGGTTAATTACTCTACTTCTAGAAGATAATCTTAATACACGAGAATATATTCATATTGAAGATGAAATTGCAGAGGGTGGGCTTACTGATGATGAAATAGTTGACGCTATATTAAATGCAAATAAGGAAAAGGAAGAGGAACCCATGGCAGATGAAATTGAAATTGCACCTATATTAGAAAAAGTTAGTCCAGTAGAAGCAAAAAAAAGCTATAGATAAAATTATAAGATTTTTTATACGAGCAGAAGGTAGAATTTAGCGAAGTAAATGACAAATTAAAATTTTAAAAAGGTTAAATAAATGAATTAAAATTCTAGTTATAAATTATTTTAAACAAGTCAATATTCAAGATTATTTTGATAATATGTAATGTAGTTAAATGGTTTTAAAGTATTTTAATTTTATTAATATAATATAATTATAAACATTAATATAATGATAATAAAAAGATTTTAATTTTTCATATTCATAAAAAAATTTTAAATGATCATGTGTCCACAATTTTATTGGCTAATATTTTATACTGAACTGTTCAATATATACTGTAGAGCACTGCACAAGATACCCTAGATATAAATCAATTTTCTCAATTTAGAAATTGATTCATACCCATAGTATCTTGTGAAAAGCAGGGTATATTAGACAGTAGGATATTTTAATAGAGAAGTATTATATTAGGGGTATATTATAAGGAGATACAAAGTACAAATTACCGTAAACTAATAAATATATAAAGCATCATACTCAGCATTTTGCAACGATCGTTACTTTTTACTTCTTATTTTCTGTATATTCTGAAAAATTGCAAAATAATATATTATTCTTTTTTATTAATTTTACATGATTTAACTACATATTTATTAAGTATTTTGTTGTGTATTTGCCTTTTCGTATTGCAAATTTTCATTTTTATTATAAAAATCACATTTATTAATAACTAATATGGTAATTTTTAAGCTGCAATATGGATGTATTATAATGCGTAAACTGCGTTTAAAAATTATCATGTTATTTTGGCGTTTTGCTATTTTGCTACATTTTTTTTCACATCTTTTTGGTCTTTTTTTCTTTATATTTGTTTCATTTTTTCTTACTATAATAAACTTAGAAAAATAGTGCGTTATTAGTGATGACTTATTTGCATCACTAAATGACTGCGCTAATTAATATCACTAATGATCACTAGGAAAATCGTAATCATCATTTTCACTAATTTCACTGCTATCACGGTTATCGTTGTGATATTTTTTCTTTATTTTTTTTATTATTATATTTATCATTATTTTATTTACTATATTTATTTTCATTATTATATTTACTTTCACTATTATATTTATTATCTCTATCTTATAATTGTATTTATATAAATATTCTGTATTGTCGTTTTGACAAAATAACAAGTTTCAATCGTACAATTAATAAAGTATAATCTTAATAACATAAAAATTATATCTTTATCAATATCTATTTCCTTAAAATATAAATTATCAATAAAGATGATCTGACTCTTTAACTTAAATAAATTCATGTTTATTTCTTTTATAGTTTACCACTTAAACTCCCTGTTAGTAAATAAGCTTTGTTATCCTAACGATGTAATGTTTAGGCTTAACAAGTGGTGATTCCTGCCAGGTGAATCTTTATTGAAGATATATATAATGAATTGCTGAAGAACTAGCGAGGTGTATGAATTTTGAGAAACTTGAGAGAACTACGTCAGAGCATATAGTTAGGCATTTTTTAGACAGACCTCTTAATCAAGATTATACTTATCATTGGTATTATCACCCCTCTAATCGAAACTCTTTTTAATAGTTTTAATAATTTTTGGAATTGGTTCAAACGTGAATATCAAGCAGATACTTTTACCTTAAGAACTATCGTTACCTTTAACTTATTTGAATAACTTAGTAATACTCCTGAATCTGAATATCATAACTTTCACCTAATAAGAGTTATTTACCAGCTTTTTTCTAGCATTTGATATTATGTTTAACCTTTTTTAGCAGACGTAATATACTTATATATACAAGGCATATCATTTTGAATAAATTGTTTTCAACAACCTGTTACCTTATCTATTTCCTCAAGGATATATACTGAAATCTTAGAACAAGACTTAGTAAGGTTTATAGCAGATTGATGACTATTACAACAGCTTGTTGCCTCTTTAACACCCTTTGCATTTAGCTTAACAAACTCATCCTTTAACTCACCCTTAGTCGAAACTGAAACAATAGCTACAGGAGCTGAAATGAGAACCATCTTCTAAGAGATCTTTGGGAATAATAGACAATATTTAACAGATATTATTAAATGACTCCGTCTAGCTTAGGGAAGAGAAAGATCCACTATTAAAGTTGACTATTTTTCAGGAGCTGAAAATAAAGGCCCTGTAGAATAGCTCACTGTATTCAAACGAGCTGCTATTACTAACAGATAGACCACTGAAGCGTGAAAGAAAGTCCTCGTTGAAGGACATCTTAAGGATACAATAGCTGACTGGTTTGATAGTGTCACCACTACCATAAGAGACAATTGGAATACTAGAAGCAATGATGAAAAAAGTTTTGTGAATTTATTTGAAGCTCGTTTTATTAGTGAAACTAAAAAAAATCAATAATATCAAGAATTAACTTCTTTGCGATAACAAACAGATGAATCTGTAAACTCCTATGCTAATAAGTTCAAGAAACTAGTGACTTGTATAGGATTAACAGATGATGTACAGAAGAAAAGGATATTTCTTATGAGACTAAATCCTGCTTACACTCCATTAGTTTATTCACAAATCCAGCTGATTTGGATGCTACTGTAATTTCTACACGAACTATTGAAATTGAATATAATTTCACCTCTAGAAAAGCACCTAAAAATATTAGTATTACTACCGTCTCTACTTCTAAAAATGTGGTTACTAATACTGAAGTGGATAAACTTACTAAGAAATTAGAACAACTATCTATCAATTATGCTAATTTGATGACTGTTTTGTTAGCTCAACCTCAATAACCACCAAGAAGACAAACAGAGTGACCCTACAATGATACTAATAGAAGACCCAGACAAAATATGTCTTCTATGATTTGTTACAATTGTAATAGAGAAGGGCATATAGCTAAATATTGTCCTCAAATTTATCAGCAATCAAGGAGAACTGATAGAAAATTTCACTATGATGATACTAGAGATATATATCTGGCTGATCAATATTATAAGGAAGAATATAATGACAATGTTATACTTCTGAAGAATATTATGAGAAAGATGAATATGAAGTTTACTTAAATACTAAATCTGGACTTTACCCTAAAAATGCTGTGTCAAAAAATAAAAGAAGACTAGTAAAGTTTTAAAACCCACCTAAAACTACTGTTGAAGAATTAGACATAGAAAAATTAACACTAGATTTAGTAACTGAGCCAGTTAGAATCAAAAAAAGCATTAAAAGCTTCTAAAAGAAGGTTGTTACCTACCCCTATTAAACAACTAACTGAATTTAATGTCTTGACCTATTTGCAAAATTTACCATGTGAATTATCAGTAGGACAAGTTGCATATGTTATTCCTAAATATTGTTCTGGTTTAGCTAAAGCTATCAAGCGCTCAAGAGAAAGAGCCATTGATGAAACTAAAGAAGCTAATTTAGTAGAAAGCGATGATGAACCAACCTCAGCTGTGAAATGTACTTTGAGGATTAGATAAAAAGCTCAGATCGCAATTATCAATAGTGGAGCTGCTACCAGTATCATAACTAGAGCTTTAGTAGAAAAATTGTGATATAAAATAAGTCAACCATCAAAAATGATAGTAGTAATAGCAAATAGTGCAAGGATTCGTTCTCTTAAAATTATCAATAATATACCAGTAAAATTGGAAAAATTAATGTATCCACTTCCTTTCAGGTATTCGAGTTTAAAGATGAAATACTTATATTTGGAAACGATTAGCTCAAAATAATTAATGCTACTATGAGTTGAAAATAATCCATCATATAGGCAATTTTGGAGGTTCTGGAATAAAAATTTCGAATAGATATAAAATAGTGGGTAGCCCTCCCGGCTTCTTTACTGATATATGAAAAATTTTGAAATCTTTATTAAACCCCAAATTAGCCTACAAGACCAGGAAATATATCGAAATTCAATATTGAATTCATGTTTAAAATCAAGCTAGGGCTTAAATTTAGTTAACATATCTCCTTACCCAAAATTTTACGTTTCTAAAACTAAGATGTACACCATCTTTGTTAACACACTGGCCTTTTTTTAATCCCAAATAATATAACGAAAAAAGTATGTATTTCTGCTTGCCCTTGAAAAGAACAGTGAACACTGAGGACCGAAGTATCCGAATGTGCTCGCAGTTTACCAAAGCAAGCCTAATTAGCATATTATTTTTTATGTTATCCTATAATCAATTCTAAAGTTGATTCATTATCAGCTAGCAAGATCAAAATTTTGGTACCCAATGCAAATTGGGTATCAAAATTTTGTATGTATACAAGAAGTTAAAAAGTTACAGAACACATTCTAGTATACCATTTTTTTTAAATATACAAGAATACATTCTAAAACCATTTTATTTATGTAAAACTAGGACAAAAAATAGTATCAGAATACCAAAAATTTCGAATATATAAGGATAATAGATACCAAAATTATGGATGAGATACCAAAATTTCAAATCAGATCATAAAAGTCTTACCTCTAGATAGGAGTTTAAAGTATAGGATACCAAAATTTTAATAGCTTAGCTACCATTTATTAAAGCTCTAGAACACAATCTCTGATAGTGCTGTGAGACGTAAAACCCTTTTATATGATCAGGACATCGACCAGAAGCTGATCTATTAAGTCTACCACATTCACTATAAGGAGTAAATTGCTTATTAGCTAACTTAATAACATATTTCCAATGAATAGAACATCCTTGTTCACGCATACAGGATTGACCACAAATTTTACCAAAGAAGTGTATAAAGGGGCAAGTATATTCACCATACATAATGTAATTATTTTTTATATATCAAAATAACTAATTAAAA